GACGCTGCGTGTCGTTCGGCACGATGTCCGACGTTTCGCTCCCGAAAAAATACAGGAATCCCGACACTCAATTTGGTTCCTCAAGACAGCTGCCAGCAGCGGGGAGCGAACCGTCGGACAAATCGCGCCGAACGAAAACGCGGAGGCTAACGCAAAAAGACCCGCGTCCAAAAGTTAAAGGCACGTGTTGTCCACCAAGCTATGAATGAGCCTTCCAAGTCAACATGGAGCACGATTATTTACTCGACGTAAGTTGTGCATTAGGGCGCATTTTATTTGAGAGTTGTCCTGTGTTTCAAAATTCCTGACCACGTTTTTTCCTTTGTACAATTCCCCTGGAACGTGACGCTGGGGCGAGGTGGGGGAGCAGGTGGCTTGGAGGGAAATTGAAGCATCGTCTCAGCGCGAACCTCAGTCCACTATGCACCCTTTACGCGCGCTATGCGATTTAATGTTTGTCTCCAAACGTCAAGTCGAGAAACTCGAGCGGAATTTCAATTTGATGCCGGCAAAATTCAGCGTGAACTCACGCCACTGAAAAGTTGTTGCAAATATTGCAAATGAACACCAGACGTTACACTTACACGGAGCCATCAATTTCACCCGTAAACTTGTGACTCAACGAGACGGATTACATGGCATTTAAAAACGTAATAAATGTCTGGAAATTTGGATTCAGTCGGACACTTTTCTGCAGTGTTATTTTCAGAAAAAACTCACAAATGAATTGGCTTTTCTATACAAATAGAATTCATGGGCATACATATTTTTTATTAATGAATCAGAAATGGCTCATCTCCCCTACTATCGCGGCAATTATGATCACGAAATGTACAAATCAATGGCAATTGTGTGAACAAGTCTGTACAAATGAGATACAATTTTTCATGATGTGTAATATTCAATTCTTGATACAAGCTGCAAAATTTTACTCAATCACCGTGCTCTTTATAATCACTCTGGTTTATGTCCTCTGTCGTTGTGAATAAAATTACAGAGACAACATTTTTGGGACGAACAATAACACATTTGTTTTTGATAGTGCGCCCTTCGTGCGTCTCACACGTGATGAGCGACTTCCACTGCGCTAGTCACCACAACACATTTCAACGGGGACCCCCATTGGCAGCTGTCATGCAGGGCACAAGGCGACCCGGCATCTGGTCTGCAATCGGGCATTAGTCTGCCAGTAAGGGGCGATTATTGTTGAATGAAAGTGGGCTGTAATGTTTCGAATTTGGCAAAATTGGGTCGTGATGCCAGGACACAATAGCCTGCTCGTTTCCAACGACCTCACGGCATCTCTAACGCCCACCAAGCAGATGGAGCGTATCTTATGATTGACACACACACGTTAATAACTAGGGCGGCCCACCGGTTTCGAACCTCTGCAACAAGCGGCGAACGCACTCCTCTTGGGCCAGGGCATGGTCCCATGGGTGCGCGCCACAACAATATGACTTGGAGGTGGCAGGATAGTTGAAAGGTCAAATGTATGTATGTTGAACTTCTTTCGCACCATACGTTGCCAACCGTGCTAATTGGAGGTGCGATTAGCACACACTGAGCCAGCACTGGTACCATCCCTGGGTTTGAATCCAGGATTCATCCAGCCATGATTGAAACCGTGTTCCTAAGAGTAGTCAGTTTATGGTCTCAGCTCAGTCATGAATTATTTAATAAAATAGCCATTGTGATGAATATTCTTTCATTAATTTGGCAAAACAAATTCCAGTTATGTGGATAAAAAAGTTGGGGTAAATGCCCTGTTACCATAGTCTCTATAGCGAGGTGCGTGAGAAAATTCAGCGCCCATCGTATGGATAAGATGTTACTTGTAGGGATCTCAGAAATAGTTATTTGTTGTCACCTTCGATGGGTCATTCTCAATCACGGGGTGATTCACTGGGGGGGGGGGGGGGGGGGGGGGGTTGGGCGGTGGGAAATTACGAAGAAAAAAAATCTTATAACTCCAATTACCAGTAGCATAGAAAATTCTGAGCCACGCTTAGAAAACTATATGTCACAATCCTCAAGTAAATATAGAATTGGTTCTGATATGCTTTTAATAGGATGACTCACGCACATGGAACGCAATGATGTTACAACTGCATTACATTGATAATTCCTCCCATTTCAATCAATTTGCTTTCACGGATTTAAATATTAATTGGCATGGCAATGATGAGTAAATTATTTTTAAACTAAATATAACAAGCGACTGTATTATGAAATTATAATAATAAAAATAATAAATGTACAGCCCTTTGTTAATCCAATGCAGGATAAAGGCCTTCCCTACGTCATTGGGGTTGTTTGACCATAATTCACCCTGCTGGTCACTGGGAACTGCTCCGGATCTCGCCACGAGGGTTGCTACCTCTGATGTTTATAAACCCAGGATATATAATGCGAATTATAATAATAAGAATCATAATGATGCTGTTATTAGCTCACAATACCGGAAGAGCGGAGATGCAAATGAGTTGCCTTGAGCCGTGTATTATTTTTATTGGTATATCTCTTTGGTGATGTGTTTGCCTTTCCTGCACTTTGCACTGTTATCGTGTTTCGTATTGTTCTTGTTTTGGTCGTTGTAACGTTATTACCCGCCCCTACTGGACACCTGTAAAAAACAAAAGCTCTGTAGCTCATCGGATTCCTCCAGCATAAAAAAAGATATTGATTCTGATTATTACGCAAGTTGTGCCAATGAGGCATTACGTCCTCGTAGGAAGCCTGGCAAATGTCCCACGCCAGGGGCGACCTCGACAAGAGAGAACGATCCCCGTGGAAACCGGGACAGGTGGCAACCCGAGTGGGAATCTGGTCTGAGTCCAGCTTGCGACCCGGTTTTCTTCGCAGTTGTCATGGAGACGTGGGCTCTGTCTCGCAATTTACCCACCCTTCCCATCGAACCCTGGCCACATTCCTGAAACCAGGAGGGGGGTGGGGGGGGGGGTCAAAGCTGGGGGTGCCCATTGCCAAGCTGTCTGCCATAGATCTCGATTAAAAACATAAATCTCTTCTTGACAAAAGAAAGAATGAGAGAAAAAGGCAAGGATGCAGAATGTGCACCTGCGCGCACGCAAGCAGAAGAAGGTGGCTCCTGGAATGCCAAGTGAGCGATTCTGTCATTTATTCCCCCAAAAAGAAAGAATTAAAAATGACTAAAAAAATGTGCGCCCCATTAGTAATCATTTGTTTTGGCAATTGTTGTAGCAACACAGTGAAAAAGGTGACAATCTACCGAGTAGAATTGAAATAAAAACAAAAAACAAGAGATTAGGTTGGCAGCGTTGAACAAGCAGACATATTAAAAAAAAACATGTTCTCAACGCAACACCTCCGCTGCTCGTAATTAACGCTGCCCCAGAACAAAGAGATACGCGGCACACACTGCAGAATTCTCAGAGCAATAGCCGCTCTGCAGAGCGAATAGAAGGCCCGGGGAGATTGACCGACCGGATTCCGTTTTTTCTTTTTCTTCCAGAAGGCACCGGCACATTGTTAAGTGCAGTCTCCCAGCATTCGCCAATCTCTCCGCACCGAGGAAGAGCTATTGCCTGCAGTGTTATCCTGCATGGATTAATCCCTCCGCTTGGCTTTACAGACTGCGGACGGGCCAGTTTGGTTTAGCGATTTCCTATTATGGCGGGCTACATCAAGCGTGATAGAACGGTTGGGAAAGATGAACAATTATTGTCACGTTTATTCTTAGAGGTATCAAAGACAAAGATCCCCCATATAGCCTCGACGGACTGTTGGGGCAAGAGCTGTTAGCGAGTAGCATCAATGAAGGCTAGCACGGCACACGTGGGGTTGGGTGGGTGGCCAGCACCACGTCCGGTCGCCTATGTACCCCAAGTCGAGATGTTTACACATCGCACCAGGTACTCATTTGAGGCTGAGTCAACATAGAGGAAGCCCAGGACCAGTTCAGATAATATAATATAATTAATCGTCACTGGTGTTGGTGGCCGTGAGCGGGAATTGAACTCGTGTCACCGGAGTTCGCTGTGCAGTGCACCAACCACTGCACTACCGCTCTCCATCATCATCATCATCAACACGATCTAACGCCTTTGTCTAAAAGGCAAATGGCACATGCAGAAACAAATCAGCTTTTTACGAATAGGTATGATGGGGAAAATGAGTGTGTGTGTGGGGGGGGGGTGTAGGGATCAGTAGTTATTGACTGATGTGGGGGGGGGGGGGGCTCACCATACCAACAAGGGTTAGAATCACGGCCCGATACGGACGTGTCCAGTACCCCCCCCCACGTCCTCATCCACCCCGCTTGTGAGTCGGAAACGCGAGTGGGAGTCGAAACCAAAAGGCAGACGAGACGTCGCCTCCACACACCCCTCTCTCGGCTATGTATTACACACCCCGGCATCCGCACAGCCTTCTCAAAGTGCAAACTTTCGGCAGCAATCGTTTCAAGACAAGCAAACTCCTGGACCGGCTTCCACGCGCAGTTTCTCATCAGCAGAGCGAGGCTTGCCTTGAATCGATGCTGGCAAACCGTCGATCTTCCCTTCCCCTTAAGCTATGGGGTCCCAGTTCGCAGCAAAATGATATCGTTCCTGGCTCTGAGTTATTAACGGTAGTCGAGATATGTATGTATGTTGAACTTCTTTCACACCATACGTAGCCAACCGTGCTAATCATAGGTGCGGGGGGAAGGTACAACAAACTAAACACCAAAATCAGTCCTGAAGAATTTAGTTTTATAGCCTTGAAATTAAATTTCGATTTAAAGCTTTCGTGACTGCAGGGATTCTGAATGATTCAGACTCTGTCTTCTCGACAGACCTGTTCTCCACCTGAGGACGGCTGCTTGCGTTGTGGCCGAAACGTCGTGAGAATTATTTTATAGGTTTATTTTTATTATTTTATTATTTCCATTCTACGTGACTTTACCGAATGAACCAAGAAGAACCTTGAAATTCGTTTTCAATCTCGCCACCATCGGACGAGGTGACACCGTCGCTCACCTGTACAGGTGCCGTTGCAGGGGCGACTCCTCGGTGCTCATGAAGTACCTGCGTGCGAGCAGCAGCAGGGGAGACAAACACGGCAGGAATGAGTGGTGCAGCCGTGCGGAAGAGGCTCAGCACTCACGTCGCTATCGATCCGACTGCAGTCAATGATTTTCCTCGCAATTGCCGCGTGCAGAGCAATCAGTTTCGTCATAATCATCCCCAGCGGCAGTTGCCTGTCTCAGGCCACACACACCACGCCGCCGCCAGCTCTCGAGGTGTGGCGCGGCTACCCTCCGTCTCGCCGATGAGCATTGAACGGATTTCACCCCTCGGTCGCCCTCTTGTCGCCCTCTTGTCATTCATTTGGCTCGCCCATTGGCCATGGTCGATCGTCCGCGTCACAGAATCCGTCGTTCCTAGTCAGGTAGCCGGCCACACCAGGGTGTTGTAGTCGAGCGCAGCCCGTCCTATGCAGGTGGTTAATCATCGTGTCGGCTCTCACGACCTCCCCCCCCCCCACCGCTCCCCACACCAACACTGATCACACCACCTCTGTGTTACCCTCTATCACCAATCAGCAGTCGCGGGTGTTTGTCCGAGGTCAAAGGCTGCAAGTAGAACAAACGAAACACGAAACTGCTTTTTGCGTTCGGTTTGTTGTCCTTCCCAAGCACCTCCCATTAGCGCAGGTTGGCTACGTACGGTGCAAAAGAAGTTCGACATACATACATACATACATGAGAGGTAATTCCTCAATACCATAGGTCCCTCACTTCTTAAGGTCCTTGCTTCTGTACAAACGAGGGCCATTAAAGTGACTGCACTTTCCAACACAACAGTGGCTCTTTATAAGTGGTCGTCTAAACGGGACCGCATCTCAAGACGCTGCACGGAATCATCGGGCGTGTTCATTTTGTGGACGGAGGCAATCAGTTAGAGGCAGGAGGAAACACGGAGAGCATTGGGCCTGGACTTACACCGGGGCAGGGAGTCGGCAGTACGGACAGCTGGGGCAAGGAAGCTCAAGACGTTGGGGACAGCAGAGGAGGACGAGTAGGCCTCCGTTGCAGAGGGATATTCTCCAGATTCTTACAACGACGTTGTTTGTTGTGCATGCACCACAATGCCAATCGCAGACGGAGGGGTTTTGGTGTTAGTGCGGGGGGGGGGGGTGTTATCGTGGCTGCAGAGCACAGGCCAGAGGTCGCAACCGGGTACCCGATACCCGTACCCTACCCGATACCCGTACCCTACCCGATACCCGTACCCTACCAGATACCCGTACCCTACCCGATACCCGTACCCTACCCGATACCCGTACCCTACCCGATACCCGTACCCTACCAGATACCCGTACCCTACCCGATACCCGTACCCTACCAGATACCCGTACCCTACCCGATACCCGTACCCTACCCGATACCCGTACCCTACCCGATACCCGTACCCTACCAGATACCCGTACCCTACCAGATACCCGTACCCTACCAGATACCCGTACCCTACCCGATACCCGTACCTTACCCGATACCCGGCTACCCGTACCCGGCAAGGGTACGGGTACGGTTACCCGTTTGCGACCCTGGTGCGGCCGGGTACGGGTACGGGTAGACCGTGAGTCACTGGTGAGTAACTGTTTGTCACTCATTTCCCAACGTCTTGTCTCTTCTCACAATTCAAGTTCCTAGAATCAACCCACCCGCGCCTGCAACATGGCTCTATCCCAGAGGTCGCAATCAGGTACCCGATACCCGTACCCTACCCGATACCCGGCCGGTTACGGGTAGGGTACGGGTACGGCCGAGTACGTTTCTTGGCTTATTCATAAGAGCTTGGCAAAGAGAGATGGTGGGAGGCAATTATGGAATTGCAAAGTCGAGCGGTGCGATGGAAGAAAAAGACCTGCAGTGTGGCGAGTGAGTGTGCAAGCAGGGTGAGTGAGACGGTGAGTGGGCGAGTGAGAGGGTGAGTTGGCGAGTGAGAGGGTGAGTGGGTGAACAATGTGGATGAGACAAAACAATCAGTCCGGTAGAGTCCTCAACATTGGAAGGAGGAATCAGTGAGTGAAGTTCACGGGAACGGTGAGTCAGTGAGTGGGTAAGTGAGTGAGTGGGAGAGTGGGCGAGTGAGTGGGTGAGTGGGCGAGTGAGTGGGTGAGTGGGTGAATAAGTAGATGAGTGAGTGGGTGAGTGAGTGGGTGAGTAAGTGGGTGAGTGAGTGGGTGAATGGGTGAGTGAGTGAGTGAGTGGGTGAGTAAGTGGGTGAGTGAGTGGGTGAATGGGTGAGTGAGTGGGTGGGTGAGTGGGTGATTGAGTGGGTGGGTGAATGGGTGAGTGAGTGAGTGAGTGGGTGAGTGAGTGGGTGAATGGGGGAGTCAGTGAGTGGGTAAGTAAGTGAGTGAGTGGGTGAGTGAGTGGGTGAGTGAGTGGGTGATTGAGTGAGTGGGTGAGTGAGTAGGTGAGTGAGTGGGTGAGTGAGTGAGTGGGTGAGTGTGTTGTTTTGACCTGCGGTATGCTGGTTGAACACAGTAAGAATGCTGTTTGCATGTAGCAGGAGCAGTGTGTGTGGTGGCAGGGCAGGGTTGGATACTGACACTCTCTGTAGCTGCTCATCATACGCCACGATCTCCGTGACCTCCCAGTCCCCAGAAGTCAGATAGCGCACGTCCTGCCCTCCTCGCTCCTGTGTACCACGGCATCACCACCAAATTACCACCGAATCACCGCAAAACCATGATGACATCACCACCAAATGACGACCAAATCACCACATTACCACCAAATCATCACCAGATCACCGCAAAATCGACACCTGCAAAACCACGATGACATCACCACCAAATGACGACCAAATCACCACATCACCACCAAATCCCCACCGAATCACCGAAAAACGACACCGCAAAACCACAATGACATCACCACCAAATCACGACCAAATCACCACATCACCTCCAAATCGCCACCACATCACCTCCAAATCACCACCACATCACAGTCACAGATTTCACCATAATATCACCATGCACAATTCAGGCAACTGCGCCATAACCCCCCGCTGTTACCACGACGTGCTCTTTACCACGAGGAGTTACATCTCTAAACACAACCCATCACAACATCCATGTGAACATGGGCCACAGCCAGTGGTGCAGTGTAGTTGGCAAGGGCGCGTGATGATGGCGGTCATCGTGATCTGTGATTGCTGCGCGATGGTTGTCCACGACGGTTGTTGTGGCTGTTGGCATAGTGGTGCTGGTGGAGGTGGTGGCGGTGTTGGTGGTGGTGCTGGTGGAGGTGGTGGCGGTGTTGGTGGTGGTGCTGGTGGAGGTGGTGGCGGTGTTGGTGGTGGTGCTGGTGGAGGTGGTGGCGGTGTTGGTGGTGGTGCTGGTGGAGGTGGTGGCGGTGTTGGTGGTGGTGGCGGTGTTGGTGGTGGTGGCGGTGGTGGCGGTGGTGGTGGTGGTGCTGGTGTTGGTGGCGGTGGCGATGTTCCGCGTCGCCGCACCTGCGTGGTGAACATGGCGAGGTGGTAGAAGTCTCCACGGCCTCCCTGCTTCACCGGCAGCGGCAGGAAAAACCGCGTTCCCTCTGCCGAGAAGAGCGGCTTCTCACCCTATGGATAGCAGTGGACAAAGGACAAAGGTCGGCCCGCATAGCCTTAGCGCAACTTTTGGGGCAAGTGCCTGCTAGCAAGCACCTGTGAAGGCCCACACGAGGAGGTGGGTGGCCAACACCACGGCCCGGCCGCCTTTGTTCTGGGAAGGGAGTTTTCATAACATTCGTGTGGCGATCCTGTCAACCCTCGGTGGATTACAGGCAGCCTCGTGCTGGCGGCGTAGCCACCACCACCACCCAGTGCGCCATGAAATATGGAAGGCACGGCCCTGCTGGCTTGTGACATGACAGCTGACGGAGGGTCATGGCTTAGCAGCCTACAGCAGCCCGGTGCTACATCGGCAATCCCAACAACGACAACAACGATGCCGATCGGCAAAAACCTCTTCCCCAGTTCCCTGCCCTGGGGCCAAGTTTCTTGGTTACCATTCCCTCCGTACTTTCACACGTCGCACTCCGCTCCATGTCCTCGTCAACACGCAGCCCCGAGGCGCACTTTTCTTTCTAACTTTCTCCCGTCAGGCCCTTCGTCGTCATCGTCAGACGTTTATGTCCACTGCTGGACGAAGGCACTTCCAACAACATCGCCACCAGCTCGCGGTACCGCCGTGCCCGTGAGCCGTCTTGCACCCGCGTGTGAACTCGTCTCATTGCTCCATCTCCCGAGGCAGTTGTCCCTCTCCCGGCGTAGGTCATTCCTGTGGCTGGCATGCTGTGAGCAGTCTTGTCCATCAGCCACTATCCATCTCTAGCGATGTTTCATTCCCAAGCCCACTTACTTTTCTTAACCGTCTGCACAATATTTTTTAAAATAAATTCAGATGTTTTTCTTCTCTGATACATGCTTTTTTCTTTCTTCTGTCTCTCAACGTAAATTCCGGGCACGCATCTCTCCAGAACTTTTTTTTTCAACGCACTCCTAAGCCCTTGTTTAATTTCATCCGCCGTTTGTCACAGGCCTGTCAACCGCCCGCTGGTAAATACCAAACACCATAAATAACGTGAGACGGCCTCCGGTCCGTGTCGTTACAGTGTGAGACTTCACGACCTAAAATTACAATTATCTTGATTGGTGCACTGCATAATTAACCCAGAAACCTGAATCATTAAAGTCGCAGCGAATGTCACTGGCAAATGACATCTAAACCAGACGTGGCGTCTCTGCTTCATCAATCCGCACTGGCCGGCGTGGTGAAGCATGGCCTAACAACCTCCCCACCCCCTATGGATATTGACATGAGGAGGCCTTCATCCAGCAGTGCATTGACAAAGAGTTGTTCATTATAATAATATAACAGTCATTGGAGACTAGGCTGAGATCATGAACCCACTACATAGGACAAGCTGGTCTAATTAATTATGGGTGGCCCATCATATTTAGAAGCGAGCATCTCGTGAAGTGCCAACTCTGCGATCAAAATCAGCCACCGTGAGGCCCCTGGATCACCTTGCAGCGTCATCGTCGTTGTCGTACCTGCCCACACAGACCATCATCTAAAATTCACAATTTCAAATTACTCACGCCATCATGGGCACGAAATGTGACCAACATAGTAGAAATGACACGCGAGATGAAGGTGCAGCGCCAGCGCACGGTAACGTGTCATTGTACTGAAGACGAAATTGCCACCGAATTTTTGACAATTTACTTTTAGAACCGCGGGGACGCCGGCACAGTGGAGTGAGGTGTGGGGTCTCGCACTCCACAGGTCGCCAATGCGACCCCACCTCAGGGCGCTGACAGTCGAAACCACGGCGCAGGTTTATGACCAACCAGCCATGGCTTGTGTTCACATGGGTCAACACCGCAAGTTCAGTCGATTGGCAGGTCGCGTGCGGCGGGGTAAAGTGTGGGGATAGTCCCCCCACTCCCAAGACGTCTGCTCAGTCAGAATCAGAGTCTTGGTTTAGACTGGAGGAATCCGATGAGCTATGAAGCTCTTTTTTCGCCGATGTCCGGCAGGCCGAAGAAGCCTTTTAGAAGGGCCTCTCTGGAGCTGGCTCGAGGGGAGGAGGCCCTTCCACCAGCAATGGCATGAATAACACTGGTCAACAAAAAAATTCTTTTTTTCTGGCCTGGACTTTTGCAGCTGTTTTAGACTAATTTCAGGGTGCTGATTCCTAATCTGATCTCAGATTTGCCTATATCACATCTAATTTTTATGCTATCGGCATACCCCATTTTCATTGATTTTACCCGAAATTAACTCTGTCACTTATGATTGCAAGTTGTTGCGAGTCAGTGACTGCTTTAGTGTTAAAATATGGTGCTGTATTTTTAGGATAGTGTGTTTATAATGTAATTGTATGTAGATATCCACATTTATTTAATATTTTTCTTTTGCAGTTTTTATTGAAAATGCAATATTTGATATCTCAAAAATCTGATGTGATAGACAACAACTGATGCCAGATTTGGAATCAGCACCCATTGGAATACCTTATGCCAGAAAAAGTCTGTTGACCAGTGTGATAAAGGGCACCTGCAACCTTGGCCCGTGTTGCCGCAAGATGATGGATGTGCTGCTGTTGTCACGTGTGCACAGCGAGGTGCAACGTTCTGCCGATGTCTTTTATTTATTTAAATCGTGTGATCTCACGATGTTTCGCGAAAGGGGTTAACGGATTCAGACCTGGGGAGAAGTGACGGGGGTTCAAGGTTGCATGACTCTCAACGCAGCCCGCATTTGATTCATAAAGACGAATCAAAAACATATTTAAGGTTAAAAAGGAGAACAACAAATTAAATAATCTAGATTGAAAATATGCAGACTAATTAATTACCCACGAGGGCGCGGTGTGAGAAAAATATTGTGAAATGAATGGTTCAAATTGGAAATGCGTAGATGCGTGTGTTCGTGTATGTGTGTATGTATGTATGTATGCGTGGGGAGCGGTAGTGCAGCGGTTAGCGCGCTGCGCTATGAACCTGGCGACCCGGGTTCGATTCCCGCTCACGGCCAACACCGCCAGTGATGATTATCTGAACCGGTCCTGGGCCTCCCCTAGGTCGACTCAGCCTCAAATGATTACCTGGTGCAGTGTGTAAATATCGCCACTAGGGAGACAAAGGCGGTCGGGCGTGGTGCTGGCTACCCACCCCCTCGTGTACCGTTCTGGCCTTCATAGGTACTCGCTAACAGCACTTGCCCCTACAGTCTGTTAAGGCTATACGGGGGATCTTTATCTTTATATATGCGTGGGGAGCGGTGGCGCAGCGGTTAGCGTGATGCGTTAAACACCCGGATATCCGAGTTTGATTCCCGCTCACGGCCAACACCAGTTACGATTATCTGAACAAGTCCTGGGCCTCTCCTAGGTCGACTCAGCCTCAATTGAGTACCTGGTGCGGTGTATAAACATCGTCACTAGGCAAATAAAGGCGACCGGGCAGTGGTGCTGGCCTTCATAGCTGTTACTCACGAACAGCATTTGCTCCAACAGTTTGTTAGGCTATACAGAGTATATTTGTGTATGCAAGCCGGAATGAGTCCCTGGTGCGGTGTGTAAACATCAGCACTGGGGAGACAAAGGTGGCCGGGCGTGGTTCTGGCCACCCCACAGATAAGAGTTAATAGGTTTCCTGAATTGAGCATGGGCGCGCTCACGGGCACACGCTCGCGCGCGCGCGCGAGCGTGTGCCACCGTGCGTGAGCTCCGCCACACGTGAGCACACACACGCACGCACCCGGAGCGCGCTCACCTCCGTGACGGCCACCGCCACATCATTATCTTCACACCCAACGGCACGAGCCAGCGAAAATATTAATATAGCAAAGTGTGCACATTAAAAAGTGTTACAAAATCCTCCCCCCCCCCTCCTGCACACCCCAAACCGCCCATCCCCCAACCCACACCGGCATCAAAGGCCAGAAGTGTTGATTAATGCTAGGGACTCTCACAGGTGAATAAGAGCGATGATTGGGTGAGGGAGATGGGGAGGGGGGTATAGCTATATTGGCATGCAAGAAAGGTCGCCGAGTGTTTCATCTTAAATTCATGCAATTAGGTGACCGGGTAGCTCAGAGGGCCCGTGACGGGTGAACGTCGGGCAGCGCTGAACCGGAGGTTTTAATAAACTCGCATCCGGGAGCTGCAACGGCCGCGCCCGGAGATCGAATCGAGCAGGCGACCTCTGGATCGCAGGTCCGGTGCGCTGTGAAGCACCGCGCAGCGTCCCTTCCGCCCCGCGCGGCTCTGAACGTGAACGGGATGATTGGCACGGGAGGAAGCACGCGTCACGTGGTACGAACGAGCGCCGACTAGCGGCTGGGAAGAGGTCGAGGCCCTCGGCGTCAACTTCCCAGGCTCTTCCCCACGACGGCTGCCACCGTCACGTGACACCGGCAAGGGCAGCGCTCGATTCACACTATGACATGCACGCGACGGAGACATTGCCGTGGTTGTGATCGTCGCTTTTCTGCATCCAACGCCGATGGGCAACCCTCAGCCGGCAGCGCGCTGTGGTGTGGGACAGCCCGGACACTGCTAACATTCTGACGAGCAACTTGAACGACGTCCATTGCGAAAGTCCAGATCCCCATTCTGCGATCGCGTTGGCAAAAAGAGTGTCAGGAATAAAGACCTCCTCATTCGAGACCCAAACATCATCGCACCTCCTGGCTTTGACATCCCTCCTCCTCCTCGAGGACACCAGTGATGGAACCAGGAATCGCATCAGGACATCACTAGGCCGATGCAGACATCTCTTTCATGAATGGTTAATACTTGTAGGAACCTCCTGGTTACACCAGCCCACAGGGGATTATTGTGTCCGTCGTGCAGGGAGGGGCTGGGTGGGGAGAGGGCTGGGTGGGCTGGGTGGGCTGGGTGGATGGTGGGAGGGGTGGGGCTGGGTGGGGAGGGGCTGGTCACCTCGTGGTGCCCTTATAAAACTCAACGTTTAACCTACTCACGCCGGCTTGTGCCCGCCCTCACAAGTTGGGCATATTTGCGGAATACACCACGCCGCCGTTGACCCTGGCCATTGACCGAGCA